TCTAAATGCTGAGATCACATGTGTAAGCCACCATGCCTGGCCCTAAAGGGTCTTATAATTTACCCGGGGTAACACAGCTTATAAATGGCAGAGCCAGGACTTGAACCCAGTAGCTAGTGTCTGAGCCTACACTTGTCTTTTTTTTTTTTTTTGAGTTGGAATCTCTGTCCCCCAGGCTGGAGGGTATTGACACGCTCCCGGCCACCACAGCCTTGACCTGCTGGGCTCAGGTGATCCTTCCGCCACAGCCTTCCAAGTAGCTGGAACTACAGGCACACGCCACCATGTCCAGATAATGATTTATTGTAGAGATGCGGTCTCGCCAAGTTACCTGGGCTGGTCTCGAACCCACAGACTCGGGCACTCCTCTCACCTCGGCCTCCCAAAGTGTTGGGATTATAGGCATGAGCCACTGCGCCCGGCCTTTAAGTACCTTTTCATCTACAAGTTCTCCCTCCATCCTTTTCTTTTTCCTAGAATTTATCTGTTGAAGAATCCAAGCGTTTGACCTGTAGAGTTTCTCGGTCTGGTTTTTGGTACGGCTCAATATGTTCCTCTGTCCCTGAATTTCATGCAAATTGACCTCTGGATCTCAAGGCATGATCAGACTCAGATTCCAGCAAGATCCCAGGTTGCGGTGTGTTCTTCCACCAGGAACATCCAATGTCTGGTTTTCTTTTTTTTTTTTTGAGTTGGTGTTTCACTCTGTCACCCAGGCTGGAGTGCAGTGGCATGATCACGGCTCACTGCTGCCTCAACCTCCTGGGCTCAGGTGATCCTTCTGCCTCAGCTTCCCAAGTTACTGGTACTATATGAGTGCACCACCACACCCAGCTAATTTTTTGCTTTTTGTAGAGAAGAAGTTTCATTATGTTTCTTAGGCTGGTATCAAGCAATCCTCTCCTCCTCGCTTGGCCTTCCATAATACCGGGATTACAGGCAGGAGCCACTGCGCCTAGCCTGGCTTTCCTGTGTTTGATGAGAGCTCTTACTCTTAACCACATTGCTATGGGGGCACTGCCCAGATACGCTCAGTTGCCTGAGTTCTCTTCTGTCTTCAGAACAGATACGACCCCTAAGGCGAGCCCCTCATAGCACCAGGGTTTCTGCTGTCGAGGGCCTACTTGACTCCAAAAGGCAGGTTCTCAGAGTTCCCATCTGAGCCTCTCCACTCTCCAGGGTCTGCAGTGGATGGGGCCCTGCCTCCCTGCTGAGTGTCCCCTCTCTGCTCTTCCCTCCAGACAGAATTCTGCTTAGTTTCCCATAGGTACCAAACTCTCCCTTACTTCTGGGCTTTTGCACGCTCTGTTCCCTCAGCCAGAAACACTCACCCCTCTCCCACCCACCTCTTCTGACTAAGCACTGCTGATCCTCCAGGTCCTAGCAAATCTGCCTCTTCCTCCCCACCCCCATTCCACCAGATTGGATTGGGTACCTTTTATGTGCACTCACTGCTATAGGCTAACCTAGTCAGGGCTAGCACCTAGGTTACTCCGTTCCCTTTGTCTGTTTTATTTTTTGCTTACTTACTTTCCTGCTTTCTTTTTTTCTTTTTCTTTTTTTTTTGAGTTGGGGGTTTCACTCTGTTGTTCAGGCTGGAGTGCAAAGGCCTGATCATAGCTCACTACAGCCTGTCTCTTGGGCAGAGGCAATCCTTACACCTCAGGCTAATTTATTTATTTATTTTTGGTAAAGATTAGGACTCACAGCCAGGTGCAGTGGCTCATGCCTATGATCCCAGCATTCTGGGAGGCTGAGGTGAGAGGATTGCCTGAGCCCGCGGGTTCGAGACCAGCCTGGGCAACTTGGCGGGACCTCATCTTTACAATAAATCAAAAAATTAACCCGACATGGTGGCGCATGCCTGTAGTTCCAGCTACTTGGAAGGCTGAGGTGGAAGGATCTCCTGAGCCCAGGAGGTCGAGCAGTGGTGGCCAGGAGCGTGCCACTGCTCTCCAACCTGGGTGACAGAGTGAGGCTACAACTTAAAAAAAAAAAAGATGAAGTCTCACTCTGTTTCCCAGGCTGGTTTCGAACTCCTAGGCTCAAGCAGTCCTCCCACCTCAGCCTCCTAAAGAGCTAGGATTACAGGGTTGAGCCTCCACACCCAGCCCACTTGTCTGTTGTCTTTTTTTTTTTTTTTTTCTGAGTCACCCAGGCTGGAGTGCAGTGGCATGCTCACCAGCACCACAACCTCAGCCTGCCGGGCTCAGGTGATCATTCCCTCCACCTCAACCTTCCAAGTATCCAAGTGCACCACCATACCCGGTTAATTTTTTGATTTATTGTAGAAATGAGGTCTCACCAAGTTGCCCAAGCTGGTCTAGAACCCCTGGGTTCAAGTAATACTCTCGCCTCCACCTCCCAAAGTGCTGGGATTACAGGTGTGAGCCACCACACCTGGCTTTGTCTGTTTTCTAATCTATTTTCCCTATAGAGTCTGAGCTCCTTGAAAACAGGAACCCTGGCACTGGGCCTTGTACATAGTAGAAGTTCAATACATAGCAGTTGCTTGCATGCATGAATGAGCAAATGAAATGAAATTTATGAGTTTCAAGGCTACAGTGACTGGACTCAGTTTAAAATCTTTCAGACAGGGCACGGTGGCTCAAGACTATAATCCCAGCAATTTGGGAGGAAAAGGCAGAAGAGTCACTTGAAGCCAGGAGATCAGCGTGGGCGACACAGCAAGACCCTATCTCTCCCCACTAAAAAATTAGCCAAGTGTGGTGTTTCACACCTGTCATCCTAGCTACTCAGGAGGCTGAAGTGGGAGGATCATTGAGCCCAGGAGTTTGAGGCTGCATCATGCCACTGCATTCCAGCCTGGGTGACAAAGCAAGATCCTGTCTCTAAAAAAAAAAAAAATCCTTCAGACAGCAAGAGCTCTTCTAAGATGACATCGTAGGTGGTAAAGCAGTAATACAGATCATGGAAAGAATTTCTGCCTAGGGAAGTGCATCTTGGTCTTTGAAAAGTCACATAATCCTTTCTTCAAACAATATTACTGGGAACCCCAAAGTATAAAACAAATCAAAGCCGGGCTCGGTGGCTCAGCCTGTAATCCTGCGCCTTTGGGAGGCTGAGGTGAGTGGATTGCCTGAGCCCGCGGGTTCGAGACCCGCCTGGACAGCGAGACCTCATCTCTACAATAAATCAAAAAATCAGCTGGGCGTGGTAGCGCATGCCTGTAATTCCGGCTACTCGGAAGGCTGAGGCGGAAGGATCGCCGGAGCCCAGCAGGTCGAGGCTGCGGTGGCCGGGAGCGGCCACTGCACTCCAGTCTGGGCGACAGAGTGAGACTCCAACTCAAAAAAAAAAAAAAAAAAAACAAATCAAATGAGCCCCTGGGCATCTCCTTGCCCCAAGCATTAAGGTGCCTCTGAACAGTGGCCTGGCTATATTCTTAAGTTACTTTATCATAGCTTCCATGTCCAATTTTTAGGAGGCCACACAATGGGAACATCCTCTCCCTGGGACACTCCTGGTGGCTCACCCTACCAGCTGAAGAAATGTCCACAGAAGCCTTCTTTCTGCAAATTGTTCTCCAAGGCCACTGAATTTCTGAAACAGTGTAGATCTGGAGTCTCTGGGCACAGCCAGACTGATACGGGGCAGGCAGGGCTGCAGCCTGCCTAGTGGGGCACAGAGCCAAGGGCTTAGTCTCAGAATTGGATTATTAGAGTGTATTTGGAGCTCTGAGCCCCACTGGTCTCAGGGACATGAGGATTACCCGGGCCTCTGGCTGGTGCCCACAATCCTTCCCACATTCCCTGCCAAGTCTGAGAACAAGGATTCTCCCTCTGTTGTAGTACAGTGGGTAGGAGATGCTCCGCCTGTCTCCCAGCTCCAGCCTTCCACCCTGCAGCCTCACCCAGCTGGCTGGAGGCACACCTGTGTCTGGGACTTACAGCAGTGCTATTCAGATTGTGGTCCATGGACTGGCAGCATCAGCATCCTCTGGGAACTTGTTAGAGATGCAATTCACGGACCCCACCCCAAACACAGAATCAGAATCACTGCAGTGGAGCCCAGATTTGTGACTTCACAAACCCTCCAGGTGATTCTTACACATGCTAAAATTTGAGAGCCAACAGCTTGGAGTACACCAGCCATACCACACACCTGCCTAAGTTATGCCGCAAGACTGTCACAGAATCTGGGCAGCTTTTGCCCATAAACTTCTTCTTGGGGCTCCTTTGAGAATTCACGCATAGAAACTAACTACAATGACTATAATGGGTCTATTTGATATTGCCATATTACACAACTCCATTGTGATCTGAATAGCACTTCCTGGGGGTGTGCAGTGCAAAGCCATGCCCTGAGAGCACTCACTGTTCACTGGCTACATCCTTTATTATCCCCACATTATATCTGAGAAACATGAGGTTCAGAGAGGGGATGCTACTGGCCTGGAGTCACACAGCAAGCAAACCCAGGGCCTAGCCACTACACATCTGCTTCCCACTCAACAGAGAATGGCAGCTCCTTCCACATCTGTCTCCTCACACACACTGGCATTTTCTTCAGGGCAAAACCCTTGTCATCACTTCCTCAGGAAAGCCTTCCCTGACCTCCCCAGAGTAGGCCAGGCCTCCTTATCATATCTCGTCAAAGGTCCCTGTATTTTTCCTTAATAGCAGTATCACAATTTGTAAGCATGCGTGATGCGCTTATGTCATGTCTATCTACCTAACCAGTGTGAATGTTCCAGGAAGTCAGGAAGGGGTACAGACCCTGCTAGATGCTTCCCTTCTCACAGAACCTGATTTTGTTTGTGGCAGCTGTGTGCCCAGCTAAACAACTACATCCCTCAGTCTCCCTTTCAGTTAGCAGACCTATGAATGAGAACGCAAGTCCCTGGGTACATAATAGGTACTCAATAAATGCACACTGAATGTAGGAATATTCAGCCAGTTCTGGGCATGCAGTTGGTGCTCAGGAAATGTGTGTCATCTCACCAGGCCCAAGAACCAAAAACCAACACAGCTGTCTTTCTCTTGGAAATATTTTTATTGGTTCTGAGATAACAGGGCTGAGGCGAGCTGGAACGGGTGCAGAGCTAAGGAGGGCAGCGAGAGGCTTTGCCCTGGGGCGGACATGCTGTGTGGGGTCTGCTGGTGGGCTCCCTGGCCCACCCAGCCAGCAACAGCTGGGTACATGGCACTTGGCGCCTGGCATGACCTCTGCCGGCTTGGCACTGTGGCCTCCTCATCGGCGGGCGCCCCCCTTTCCAGTTGCAGGAGTTAGTCTTTCACAGTGCGGAGGGGTGGGGATCCGGGGTGGGCACCTCCCCGGGGTGCAGGCAGGCCCCATCCGCCAGTACATCCTGAGCTCTCAGCGGCTATGGCGGGTGAGGCGAGCTCTGGGTCTTCTCCCCGCCTGTGGGAGCTTGGCAGTCCTGGAGGGACCCTCGCAGCCTCAGCGGGACATCATCCGGACAAATTCTGGTGGGGGGGGCACAGAAGTGGGTGGGGAGAAAGCGGCAGTCAGGGCTATCCAAAGTCCCCTCCCCATGCTCCTGCCCCTGAGTCAGTGCTGGTCCCCCACATCCATTGTGCCTCTCGCAATCCATCTTTTACACAGCAGCTAGCGAGAGCTTTCTAATCTGCACATCTGACCCCTGCATAAACCTCCCACAGCTCCCTGCTGGAAAGTGTCTAGTGCCCTGACGCAGCCCCAGGGTCCTCACTTATTTGGTTCAAGCTGCCGTCTCTAGCCACATCTCTCACACTTGCCCCCAATCTCTATGCTCCAACCATACAGACATCCTTTTCACTACTTTGTGCTCAGCTTTCCTGCAACCTGTCCCCTCCCTTCTTTTTTCTTCCCTGGTCTTCGTTGTTTAGAACATTTTAGGTTTGCGGCAAAATGAAGCAGAAAGTACAGAGATTTCCCCTATGCCCTCTGCCCCTCGGCACACAGCCTCCGCCACATCAGCCTCCCGCACTAGAATGGGACAGTCGTTACAACTGATGAACAGCCACGGACACGTCATTATCACGCAGAGTCCACAGTGTCATGAGGGTTGACTCTTGGTGTTGGACATTCTATGGGCTGGACAAATGTCTGATGACAGGTGTCCACTATTACAGGGTCATACAGAATGGTTTCACTGCCCTAAAAATCCTCTGTGTTCCACCTAGTCATTCCTTCCTCCCCTCTCCCCCTGGCAACTACCGATCTTTTCACTGTCTCCATAGTTTTGCCTTTTCCAGACTGTTATAGAGTTGGAATCATACAGTATGTAGCCTTTTCAGATTGACTTCTTTTACTTAGCATAATGCATTTAAGATGCCCCGCCCCCTTTACTATGTCCTTTCGTGGCTAGATAGCTCATCTCTTTTTAGCACTAATATTCCACTATCCGGATGTACCACAGTTTATTTATCCTCTCACCCACTGAAAGGGCACCTCGGTTGCTTCCAAGTTTTGAAAGTTACAAATAAAGCTGCTATAAACACCTGCGGGCAGGTTTCTGTGTGGACATAAGTTTTCAACTAATTTGGGTAATACCCCTCCCTTCTCTCTCTTTTTCTTTTCCCTCTCCTCTTTTTTTTTTTTTTTT